AACAAAAAAAAACCGCAGTCTGACATAGGTGGCTAACGGCTACGACGATAATTAACCGAGATATCTACGTTGAAAATTCTGGAACCGTGAGATTTTCGATCTATTTCGGAAGTCAACTTTGCGAGCATTTGACCGACGGCTTTGAAACTTTCACATCTGATTTAAAAACAAAAAAAAAACGCAATCTAACTTTGGTGGCTAACGCTACGACGATAATTAACCGAGATATCTACGTTGAAAATTCTGGAACCGTGAGATTTTCGATCTATTTCGGAAGTCAACTTTGCGAGCATTTGACCGACGAATTTGAAACTTTCACATCTGATTTAAAAACAAAAAAAAAACGCAATCTAACCTTGGTGGCTAACGGCTACGACGATAATTAACCGAGATATCTACGTTGAAAATTCTGGAACCGTGAGATTTTCGATCTATTTCGGAAGTCAACTTTGCGAGCATTTGACCGACGGCTTTGAAACTTTCACATCTGATTGAAAAACAAAAAAAACCGCAGTCTGACATAGGTGGCTAACGGCTACGACGATAATTAACCGAGATATCTAAGTTGAAAATTCTTGAACCATGGGATTTTCGATCTTTTTCGGAAGTCAACTTTGCGAGCATTTGACCGACAGCTTTGAAACATTTACATCTGATTGAAAAACAAAAAAAAACCGCAGTCTGACATAGGTGGTTAACGGCTACGACGATAATTAACCGAGATATCTACGTTGAAAATTCTGGAACCGTGAGATTTTCGATCTATTTCGGAAGTCAACTTTGCGAGCATTTGACCGACGACTTTGAAACTTTCACATCTGATTTAAAAACAAAAAAAAAACGCAATCTAACTTTGGTGGCTAACAGGCTACGACGATAATTAACCGAGATATCTACGTTGAAAATTCTGGAACCGTAAGATTTTCGATCTATTTCGGAAGTCAACTTTGCGAGCATTTGACCGACGGCTTTGAAACTTTCACATCTGATTGAAAAACAAAAAAAAACCGCAGTCTGACATAGGTGGCTAACGGCTACGACGATAATTAACCGAGATATCTACGTTGAAAATTCTGGAACCGTGAGATTTTCGATCTATTTCGGAAGTCAACTTTGCGAGCATTTGACCGACGGCTTTGAAACTTTCACATCTGATTTAAAAACAAAAAATAAACGCAATCTAACTTTGGTGGCTAACAGCTAAGACGATAATTAACCGAGATATCTACGTTGAAAATTCTGGAGCCGTAAGATTTTCGATCTATTTCGGAAGTCAACTTTGCGAGCATTTGACCGACGGCTTTGAAACTTTCACATCTGATTGAAAAACAAAAAAATACTGCAGTCTGACATAGGTGGCTAACGGCTACGACGATAATTAACCGAGATATCTACGTTGAAAATCTAGGAACCGTGAGATTTTCGATATATTTCGGAAGTAAACTTTGCGAGCATTTGACCGACGACTTGAAACTTTCACATCTGATTTAAAAACAAAAAAAAACCGCAGTCTGACATAGGGGGCTAACGGCTACGACGATAATTAACCGAGATATCTACGTTGAAAATTCTGGAACCGTGAGATTTTCGATCTATTTCGGAAGTCAACTTTGCGAGCATTTGACCGACGTCTTGAAACTTTCACATCTGATTTAAAAACAAAAAAAAAATGCAATCTAACTTTGGTGGCTAACAGCTACGACGATAATTAACCGAGATATCTACGTTGAAAATTCTGGAACCGTGATATTTTCGATCTATTTCGGAAGTCAACTTTGCGAGCATTTGACCGACGACTTTGAAACTTTCACATCTGATTTAAAAACAAAAAAAAACCGCAGTCTGACATAGGTGGCTAAAGGCTACGACGATAATTAACCGAGATATCTACGTTGAAAATTCTGGAACCGTGAGATTTTCGATCTATTTCGGAAGTCAACTTTGCGAGCATTTGACCGACGGCTTTGAAACTTTCACATCTGATTGAAAAACAAAAAAAACCGCAGTCTGACATAGGTGGCTAACGGCTACGACGATAATTAACCGAGATATCTAAGTTGAAAATTCTTGAACCATGGGATTTTCGATCTTTTTCGGAAGTCAACTTTGCGAGCATTTGACCGACAGCTTTGAAACATTTACATCTGATTTAAAAAACAAAAAAAACGCGCAGTCTGACATAGGTGGCTAACGGCTACGACGATAATTAACCGAGATATCTACGTTGAAAATTCTGGAACCGTGAGATTTTCGATCTATTTCGGAAGTCAACTTTGCGAGCATTTGACCGACGACTTTGAAACTTTCACATCTGATTTAAAAACAAAAAATAAACGCAATCTAACTTTGGTGGCTAACAGCTACGACGATAATTAACCGAGATATCTACGTTGAAAATTCTGGAACCGTGAGATTTTCGATCTATTTCGGAAGTCAACCTTGCGAGCATTTGACCGACGGCTTTGAAACTTTCACATCTGATTGAAAAACAAAAAAAACGCGCAGTCTGACATAGGTGGCTAACGGCTACGACAATAATTAACCGAGATATCTACGTTGAAAATTCTGGAACCGTGAGATTTTCGATCTATTTCGGAAGTCAACTTTGCGAGCGATTGACCGACGGCTTTGAAACTTTCACATCTGATTTAAAAACAAAAAAAAACGCAATCTAACTTTGGTGGCTAACGGCTACGACGATAATTAACCGAGATATCTACGTTGAAAATTCTGGAATCGTGAGATTTTCGATCTATTTCGGAAGTCAACTTTGCGAGCATTTGACCGACGAATTTGAAACTTTCACATCTGATTTAAAAACAAAAAAAAAACGCAATTTAACTTTGGTGGCTAACAGCTACGACGATAATTAACCGAGATATCTACGTTGAAAATTCTGGAACCGTGAGATTTTCGATCTATTTCGGAAGTCAACTTTGCGAGCATTTGACCGACGGCATTGAAACTTTCACATCTGATGAAAAACAAAAAAAAACCGCAGTCTGACATAGGTGGCTAACGGCTACGACGATATTAACGAGATATCTAAGTTGAAAATTCTTGAACCATGGGATTTTCGATCTTTTTCGGAAGTCAACTTTGCGAGCATTTGACCGACAGCTTTGAAACATTTACATCTGATTGAAAAACAAAAAAAAACGCGCAGTCTGACATAGGTGGCTAACGGCTACGACGATAATTAACCGAGATATCTACGTTGAAAATTCTGGAACCGTGAGATTTTCGATCTATTTCGGAAGTCAACTTTGCGAGCATTTGACCGACGACTTTGAAACTTTCACATCTGATTTAAAAACAAAAAATAACGCAATCTAACTTTGGTGGCTAACAGCTACGACTATAATTAACCGAGATATCTACGTTGAAAATTCTGGAACCGTGAGATTTTCGATCTATTTCGGAAGTCAACCTTGCGAGCATTTGACCGACGGCTTTGAAACTTTCACATCTGATTGAAAAACAAAAAAAAAGCGCAGTCTGACATAGGTGGCTAACGCTACGACAAAATTAACCGAGATATCTAAGTTGAAAATTCTGGAACCGTGAGATTTTCGATCTATTTCGGAAGTCAACTTTCCGAGCATTTGACCGACGGCTTTGAAACTTTCACATCTGATTTAAAAACAAAAAAAAAACGCAATCTAACTTTGGTGGCTAACAGCTACGACGATAATTAACCGAGATATCTACGTTGAAAATTCCGGAACCGTTTGTTTTTCGATCTTTTCGGAAGTCAACTTTGCGAGCATTTGACCGACGACTTTGAAACTTTTACATCTGATTGAAAAACAAAAATAAAACGCAATCTTACATAGGTGGCTAACGGCTACGACGATAATTAACCGAGATATCTACGTTGAAAATTCTGGAACCGTGCGCTCTATGCAAATCGTAGAACTTGACTTAGTATAGAAGTTACAAAACGATTTTATACACTGAACGAAAAAACTAGGTGAAATTAATAATACTGTGAGTTGAATTAATAATAATGTTATAAATATACGGTCAATAAAGGCAATTATTAATAATACAGATTTTATTTTATTAAACTCACAGTCAATAAATAAAATTATTAAATTAAAAAAGAAATTATCAATTTAATAAATTTATTTTATACATTTGGAAAGACATCTTACCAAAACAGTTTATTAAATTTACCATGTATTTATTCATTTGATAGTTAAAACTATTAAATTAAACTATACCTTTTTTCTAAAACAAAAATATTTTAATTGAATGAATAAATTTAACTTAATTGAATTATGATTTTTATTTATTAAAATAAAAATATTTTAATTGAATGAATAAATTTAATTTAATTTAATTATAATTTTATTTATTAAAATAAAAATAAATAATTGTTATTTTAAATACCAAAATGCCTAATATTTCAAACCCAACGTAACCAATAATAATTATTATTAGTTTTTTAACCATTTATCAATATTTATTATTACATTTTAATATGGAACTTATTGGGAGTAAATAATTAAGACCACATAAAGTAGTAAAATAGGTAACAGCTAAAATATTAAAATAATAATTTATACAACAAGTAGATATTGAAACATTTTATTTACAGTAAAATAATATATTCATCTAAAAATTCTAACATATATAAGATAAATATAGAAAAATGCATTAGTATTATATCAACTATATTTCATAATTACTATTATAATACAATTTGAGTACAAAAAAATATTATACATATATAAATTACCAAAATTGTTGTCCAATAACCGCAAACGGCCCAAACTAATACATTCATAGTTTTGTTATGTTATATTATAATTTTCATAAGCTTTAAGTTGAGCAATCGTTTGGTTAACTTGTATACAAGGCTTATCATACATAGTTTTTATCTTAAAATAGTATATTTGAATGAATAACCAAAAGTTTGAAGATTCTAGCGGATATTCAATATTAAAAACATAATAAATATTGAAACAGATTTCAATAGCTTTTACTATTGGTATTTATGATATACTTAATGCCATCAAAAGTACACCCATAATTTGTTTAGGGTCATTAATTTCGCCAATTATCACCAAGCATGGTTGAATTTTCGTATTTTTCTTAGATATATAACTCCTCCAATCTGCACTAGTTTTTCCCAATATGACAAAACTATTCTGAGAGTCTCGAATTGAAAATTTCTTCGAAGAAATTTTGCCATTTTCATCTCTGGTTGTCTTTCTAGAACTTGGAATAAACACCGAATGAAGAAGGAAGAATAGAACCGCATTTTTACAATCTAAAATCAAGAAAAATCTTTAATTAAAAATTATAATATAATATTTATAAAAACAAAGAATACATTATTAAAATCATTAAATAATTTAATAATATACTGTTATATAAATCTTTTGATATATTGAATTATTTACTTTCAGTTAGGTATGAGGTTTTCAACATTTCATCCAATTGTTTTTTTGAACTAGGATCTTTTATTTTTTCTTTCAGCACTGTCAATAAATTTGACTGAGATTTTTCAAAGTTTTCAATAAAACTGCATTCAGGATACATTTTTTTGAAATCGATATTAACCTAGAAAAAAATATATTTTAACATATAAAATGAATGAAATACAAAAGTACAAGACAATGAAACTAGTTAATATAAATTTATTACAAGTCTATATCCCATCGGTTCTTTAAAGTGCTTCCAATTAACAAAAATATTGCCATCCTCTTTAATATTTTTTAACCTATAATTGGTGGTTTTCGACCAAATTATTTCAATTTCAGGCCATGTTAGTACTTCATGATGCAATTGTGAAATATATGTACTGACATCTTCAATTTCTGAAAATATTAAACATTGTAAATAAATTTCAAACACAGTTAAATAAATATAAAAAGTAAATACCTATCATGTTATCAAATGATGATGATGATCGGTTTGTAGGCAAATTTGATTCAGTTGACTGATACATTTTCTTATCAACTAAACCATGGTTTTGAAGTTGTTTGATGGTGTTAAAATACTTGGAATAAATTTTACCTTTAGGAGTTTTATTAATTGAATCTTTAATGAAGTATATGTCCTAAAATAAAATTAACTGTATAATATTGATTCATTGTCAGTTTATACTATTGAAGACTATTACTTTTAATTCAGTGGGGAATTTAGCAACAACTGTGTCTCCTATAACATTTGCTAAAGAAATAGACATTGGTATTTTGCTTTATAATATGATTTATGATAGCAGTTACAATTATTGATCTGCATGAATCATTTAAACAATTATGTAAACCATAATAATCAATTACATATGCACACTGATTGTTTTCTTCAAATACAGTTCAAGACAAATGATGTTTTGACTGAGGAATAGATAAAGGTAATGCTGACGTTGATGATTCACATATCCTGGGCAAACTAATTATGTCATTATCCGAAAGCGTTTTTTGCCATGACTTAAGACTAGTCTCAAATTTGATTGTTACACCAAGTGGATAAAGCAATAACAGTTTTTCTACATGATGTACTTGCATGTTCTTTAACGCTGGTATATCAATATAATTATCTAAACAAATTATTAAATTAAGTTTAAAATACATTTTAAATGGCTAGGTAATAGTAGGTATATAACAGTTTACTTATGCAAGTTTGATGGAGAAACGCTAGATCCCATGACTCTAGGAGAGCTTTAACTTCATTATTTTCCAATGTTGGAAACAACATATCCAGTTGGTTCTGATCCATACTGATATTAACAGATAACGTTTTTCGCCATAACTTAAGACTTGTCTCGAATTTGATTGTTACACCAAGTGGATAAAGCAATAACAGTTTTTCTACATGATGTACTTGCATGTTCTTTAACGCTGGTATATCAATATAATTATCTAAACAAATTATTAAATTTAAGTTAAAATACATTTTAAATGGCTAGGTAATAGTAGGTATATAACAGTTTACTTATGCAAGTTTGATGGAGAAACGCCAGATCCCATGACTCTAGGAGAGCTTTAACTTCATTATTTTCAAATATTGGAAATAACATTTCCATCGGTTGATTCTGATCTACACCGTTATTCTCAAATACATTTGAACAGTTGTCTGGCAACTGGTATGATTGGCTCATTGTGACTTTAATTTAAATATTTTAAAATATAAGAGTATAAGACTTAAGAATATATTAATAAGACAATAAATGTAATATTAAGTTGGTAATTAATAATTAATTTAAAAATAAATGTATTGATTTAAGATACATGAATTTGTATCTAACAAAATACATATCCATTAGAAATATTCTTTTAATCGAATCATTAATGATCCATCCAAAACTGTATTAATGTTTATTGGTGGACCATTAAAATCATCTATTGGCATAACTATAGTAAGAATTTCAGATTTATTTTTATCTATCATATACGATTTCAAATGTTCAACATAGCAATCAACTTTAATTTGTTTAAGAATAAATATAATTTTATTTGTTGAGTTTACTAGAATAATTTCTAAAATTTCATAAAAACTAAGTTCATATGTAAATTTTGTGACATAATAACCAATTTTATACATTGTACCTTTAAATTTCAATTGAGAGTAACAGTCATATGATCTGTCCCCTAATTTGTCAGCTAGGATCTCATGGTAACTGCAGTCAATTTTATGTTTATCAGCTTTAATAACATCATCATCTTTTGTATCATTTAATAAAAAATTCGCAAATTTCAATTGGCATTTTTTAGCTAATGATAAGGCTATATTTTTTCTTGAAGTTATTGCACGGGCATACATTTCAGTTCTCTATGTTTAGATTCATATTTACACACCAAAATGCCTAGGTGGTCCAGATTTTTTAATTATTGAAGGATAATGAGTTAAGAAGTGGTGTTTAGGTTTTAATGTGTCTTTAAATAATGTAACATAATCTAAATTATGTTTTTTTATGAGTCTTTTAAGGCAAGCAATTAAATCTTGTGTTAGCTTATGTGACATTAATATGTCTATTATCTCCAGAAAGTTTAAAAAAAATAGCCAAGTATCATCATTATTAGGTATTAAATCACCTATCATTAAAGGTAAAAAATGAATAAAACACATCATTTCCCTCGCCGACATTTTTAAATGAAATTTTAATAAATGGTGTTTTTCAATGTTATGAGAGTTGTTACCTATTTCTATGGCACCATAGTTAAAATATTGTTTCCTATTATTTAGAGTTTCCAAGGAAATTATTTTAACATCAAAAATGTAATACTGAAGAATGTGGCATACATTGTAGTGGCAAACACCTTCGAAAAGATCATGCATAACATCAATGCAGTAATTTGTGTAACGTGAATGAATCAATTTGATTCAAAATACACTCTTTGTATATACCTGTTAATTTAAAATCATTTATTTCAACATCTGTTTGATAATTATGAACATTTCTTAGCATTGATTCATCTTCTACAGCCAAATGCTGGGTCAATGATTTGTTTACTTTGCAAAATCGACAGAAAAAAATAGCAGAAATGACTTACTAAAATCACATATACAGTTAGTCCAAGTTGTCTCCAATAACTAAACCCAAAATGAAATGTACATTTTTTTTACCACATGATGTGTTTATAGAAATCCCATCTCTTTCTAAGCTATTTAATTCATCAATTAAATGTTTAAAACACAAATCATTTCCAAAATTTTTTAAATCTTTTGCTTTAATTAAAGCAGCTAAAAATATTTCTGAAATTTTTGAGTTATTTTTACTTAAGGGAAACTATACTATACGCAGATTATAGATTGCAAATTTGCATTCGAACCTAAGGGATTGTTGATTTCAAAGTCATCAATATATATGACGTAAGGAAGAACTATTTTATTTTGAAATAACTTAACTTTATCTTTCATAAAGATCCTTGAATGAAATTAGATAGGAAATTATCATCTGAGATATTTAAATTATCATATAATTGTAATGTTTGAATGAGTATATCATTTTTTTCATAATATTTTTGAAATTGAAATTTTAATGGAAATAAAATTCCCTTTGTATTTATTTCATCATACTCAGTTTCACCAGCATAGACACAAAAATTAATTTCATTATTTATTGTGAATTGCATAATATCCGCAGTTAATTCCTGGTTAGTCAACCACTTGTTTAACTTATATTCACTACTACAATATTTAAAAAGTGAAGAGATTTCAGCTATGATCATATTTGTGTTTGATATTAATAAAGAATCATTAATCTTATCAAGTAAAGTACCTTTGAGCAATAATATAATTGAATTTAATATTTTATCAGAAATTTCACTTTGAATATTTAAAATATCTTTTCTAGAAAAGTTATTATTATTATGTAATTGAAGACTAAATTTAACAGCTGACACATTAAGAGAATGTAAAGCTTCTTTTAAATTAAAATTATTAGTATTCAACAATGGTGGGGAATTTGTATTATTATTTAACGTATACAAATTTGTATCAATTAATGGTACAGAAGAAGTATTAATATGACACGGTTTTTCAATAGTATTTATATTAAAATCACTATTTACTTCAGTAAGTTTAAAACACTATTATTATGTGTCCTAATTATATCCTTCGAAGACCATTAAATTTTGAAATGTTTGAGAACAGTTGCTCTCAGAACACTCATATGTGCTTAAAGGATCAAGAAAATGCATAAATTTATAGTGAAAAGCCAATGCTGAAAATGTATCTACATTAATTTTACAAATGAAACAAGCATAATTCTGAATTAAAAGTTTACCAACTATATTACGTATTAGACTACTTTTATATATTCTATATTACCTTTAAAACTTTATCTTTATAGAACCGTATTCAATTTACAATTTTTTTTTTAAAAGCACAATACACCTGTACAATTTTAAAATTAATTTTATGCAAAATTACTTATCAGTACCTATATTAAATAAGTTATATTATAGCCTACATGGCTTGAAACTAGTTGCATATTTAATTATTTTTTCGGTTTATTTACTGCTAAAACAATTTATATCCAGTCCATAACCTTATGAGTTATGACACACATTATAATTTATTTATTTATCTTATTTTTATTCTTCAAGAAGATAATGGGCCCCATTGAACATGTTCTTGTGGGGGGGGGGGGCTATAATATATGATATATTGAATATATTATATAAAATATACATTCTACACATTGTGTAACATAACACATTGTTTATCAAAATTGTTTTTCCATTTAAAAAACATATTTTCTTGTTTCAGGTAGATATTTTAACAATTTATTTTGTAATACCTATCTAAATAAGTACTTTATTATAAATATGATAATAAAATAATAATTGGGTGGATTTTAAATTTTCACAGCATATTTTAAAAGCACATTTGACTCTTTTAAAGTGCATAACTGCATCTAGGTAGGTATATTTAGGTACTAAATTTGTAGAGCATTAAGTTCCAAGCCGTAGACTAAAATTATTTAAAAAATTGTTACTTACCACGACACGTCAGTCAACAGGACAGGACTAAGAATGTTAGTTCTGTATATTATCTGTATAGCAACAATAGCAACTAATAACAATGACTTATAAATTGGAAACAGACAAACTGTATAGATAGTAGGTAACTGTAAGTACCTAGATAACTTGTAAGTTGGAAACTGTATAAGTAAGTGTACCTGTGTACCTAACTGTAACTTGTAAGTTGTAAGATTATAACTTAAAAGTTGTGACACCAACGAGCAAGAGCAACGAGTAACAACCGACAGACCACATCAAAACGACACAGTGATAATGATTAACAAAATAGGTATGATAATATAACGATATTTTAATCAATAAATAATATTTATAAATTTTTCTATACTATTTATTATTTTACCTACTTACTAAGGGAAAACCCAACGGGTATAACTAATAATAAAACCGGCATTATTGCCATGGGTTATAGGGTCTATTTTTGTTATAAAATTAGAACTCAGTAAAATGATTTTCTTGAATTTATAAAAAATATTATTAATTTAACCAACTTAATTATTTAATTAAATACAAGTTTACTTGAACTAATAAAAACAAATAATTGATTTATTATATTTATACGAATAATAACAAAATACATTTTATTGAATTAACCAAGCAACGTTGATTTAATAAATTTGAAATACTTGGTTCCGTACAATTTTTATTAATTAAATCATTATATCATTGAATGAATAATAATTTAATTGAAATAATAAAA